GGATTGGATGGGCGGTGCATGAGGGGAGGCAGGGTCACAGTTGACTGTAATTAGAGAGGGAGAATCTGTTAAACAAATGTAGGCCAATCACTGATTCACAGGAGCGTGGCGTCCATGTTAGTCTACCTCTAATCAGCGCTGATCAGAGGCAGAACACACCGGGTGGGATGAGACAGTGAAGAAGACTGATGAGTCAGTAGCCTGTTTGAAGGATCAGTCATCGTTACTGACTGAGTGCTGAATCACAGTCAGACCAACGTCTCCTTGTATTGTTTTCCACAGAGGGACGGTGAAGCTGCCCTGCCTATCTGCCTCCTTGCCTGTCAGTCACTTCCAATCATCACATGTGTAATAACCTCTGACTCCTGTCTGGTCATGGAGGGACTGACCTCCACGGCTACCTGTCTGTCTGTCTGTCTGCCTGTCTGCCTGAGTGCCTTTCCAACCTGTGTCTCTACCAGCAGGATTTATTGTTGTGCAGCCTTTGCTCTGCTGCTAAGAAACATTCACAGCTAGCCTCCTCAGGGATGCCAGTAAACAACTTGAGTCTTATTAAAAGAATAAATCACGTTTTGGGAAAAATCATGCAAACTGGGATTTTATTTAAAATACATTACAGCGGCTACAATGTCTAAATGTTTAAACAGCAGCAAAAAATGAAAGACAGATATTGATGTAACTGAACGTAACATTGAACTAAACTCATATAAATCTTCGATCTCGCTGATGTGCGCATGTTCCTGAGAAGTCAGGAAACAAATAATGAAATGTCCAATACTGCACTCCAATTCTGTTTGCAAGCATCTTGTCTGAAATGTCTTTAGATAATTCAATAACACACCTGGAATTATTATTAATAATTATTCTTTAGCTTCAGAGCTGCTAAATTGGTTATTTGTAAGATACTTACCAACAGTCGCTAAATGTGATGTATGCTCAACTGTAAGCATTGAGAGCACCAAAGCAACACAATGAATGATGATGTTTATATTCAATCTTCCCCAAAACCTAGCTTATCCTTCTGATGGCTCTCTGCTGCTTTGTCACACAGCACCCTTTAATCCCTGATTTACACGCCCACGCTGCAGGAAAGACAGAAGCATCATGTCTCCTACAAGTTTTGTTTTGAAGTGGTGAGCGAGATAAAAAGAGGTCCCCGGGTCGTCTTTTTATCTCGCTCACCACTTCATAACGAAAGTTGTTCACGCAGCCTGGATTTTCTTTCTTACCACCTTGAGCGTTTTGTTTTGTGTGTCTTTTATTTGTCTTATTCAACAACACTCCCTTTAGTCTCCCTTTTTTCTCTTCTCTTCTGTTATGTGTAATACAGGGAGAGGAAACAGGAACTTCAACCCTGCCCCTTTGCCATCTGTAAACCACATATAGAGTATGTGACAGCATCATGAATTGCTTTTTGTCCGCCCATACTCTACATTTATTTATGATTGTGTGGTGGCTTGATAGACAATAGACATATTATTGCATCGCATTTGTTTCTGTGTGGGGGGGGAAGTAGAAAGGGTAATGGTATGTTGTAAACGCAGCTGAAGAAATTATTCTTTATGTTTCTGTACGCCGGTATCAGTGACAGGTCTGTACGTTTGTGTGGGTGTGTATACTTGTGTATTTTAGCAACCTGTGATTACCTCTATTTTTAAAGAGAATATTCATTTAATCACCCCTATTTTTGCAATTGGATTCCCCTGACAGCGGCTTTTGTCGTGATTTGCTTTGCTTCGATAATCGCTGGCTCTCTGTAGAAACAAAAAGTGTGAAAATTGCATTATAAAAAGAAACACCAAGAAGGGGAAAGTCTGTCTGTTTGTGTGTACGTGTGTGTGTGTGTGTGTGCGTGTGTGTGTGTGTGCGTGTGTGTGTGTGTGTGTGTGTGTTGGAGGAGTGGGTAGATTGAAATCTGTTTTGCTCAAAATGTGGAGGAGAATATGGTAAACATATGTGTGACTTTTCCCACATGAGACACCGCTCATTGTAATTTTCATTTTCGTTATTGGAGTTTACATGGCATGGTCATTTGTGCAAAGGAGGGATTATGTTTGGGTTTTCATTTAGGGTTTGTCAATTCTGTATCTGATACAGAATATAATTACGGTTCCAATCAAAACCTGGTTCAGATTTTTGACTTATTTAAGAAACAAAACAAAAAGTGATTTTTTTTTTTTTTTATATAAAAAGGTATTGGAAGGGAGAATATAAACATTTGCGGATTCTGGAGGTGAAGATGTGAGCTACTAACTAATGCACAGCTATCAAGAAAAACGAGGTTTTGTTTTCTCTTGTTACTCATATTTCTGGTCCACACCAAAACCACACTGGAACTTTCGATGTGAACTACGAAACACGCGGATGAGAGATAAGAAACGAGGAATACAATGTTCAGAGCAGCAGCTGATGCTCTCTCCGTTTCTCTCTCTCTCTCTCTCTCTCTTTCTGTCCGTCTCTATTGATGTTATGGCTCTCTGGTCACCTGGACCGGGACAGAAGGCGCAGAGGCTGTTAGTCCTGACACTTGCTTGGAGGCACAGCGAAAGGTCATGAGACCCAACAATAACAGCAGGGGACATTCTGAATAATGATAGTGGACATGTATTATACAGGAGCACAAGCAATCCCTGCAGGGTCTTTGCAGGGTTAGCCAGATATGACACTGGGACAGATTTCAGAAATAACCACATTTACACCAGGCCCTAATTGTGCCCCTCCTGTTGCTTTACTACCTCTGAAAGTTGACGTCATGGCCAAGCTGAGCTGGAGCAGCCAGCAGAAATGAGGCCTTATTATTATCCCCACCTCCTCTGATATTTCTTCATAATCAAATCAGGTGAGGCGAGTCCAGATAGATCCTTCTTACAATACCTGTAATAATAAGTAATATCAAAACAAGAGCTGGAAAAAAGGAGGAAAGGATAGTCATTCCTTAGTTTGCACCTCTCTCCCTCTCTCTACTGTGAATCAAGAGAGAGTAGCTCAGAGCCAGACTGATTGACATTAAAGAGAGACATTGGCATGAACGCACTGACAGAAACTGATAGGACAGGGACAGAAAGAGAGACAGAGCCAGAAGATTACAGTAAGATAGAGGATAGTCTAAGGGTCTGCGTCAATGTGAGAGTAAGAAAGGAGGCAGTGAGGGATTGAGTGAGGCAGATGGAGCCAGAAAAATGAAATGAGAGGATTACAAGAGGGAGAGAAAGATGGAACTGTTCAACAACACTCCTCCACACTGGCAAAGTTTCATCAGCTTCAGAAGAGTCATGGTGCTTTGAGTCACAGCAGATGGGAAGCACTGTCGAGTGTTAATAGAGGTATAGCGGCCACTGTGTTGGTGGCCGAAACTCAGCTGCTTCATCAACCAACTGAAGATCCCTTCCAGCCCTTCTGTCATGACACCGGCTATTGTTTAGCTGGTGTCAAACAAAGCCAAATTTATAGCCAAAAATCATTATGCATCAGCAGAGTTGGCTTACAAGTTACAAGTAAAAAAGTTCAGCCATAGTTTATTCTCTGAAATGTCAAAACACTAGTTCCATGTCAGAATGTACACTAATTCTTCAGAACTCCAAAAAAGGCCCAGTCGAATCTGAATTGTCTCAAACAAACACTACTGTACATGGTAACAGTTCCCTATGTGTATATATTCTCAAGCACAAATTTGCTTTAGAAATGCAAAACCAAACTGTGAAAAAACAAACTGATCAGTGACATACAAGGTAAACCGTGGGCTTGTTGAACCGTTGCACTACTAACACAGGCCTGCTAATTATTTGATGAGGTACCAGACACCATCAATCAATCAACTGATCTATCTATGTATGTATTTTGCAGTTTGAACACATTGGAAATGGTCACATTTTTCTTCCTCCTAATGTGCAAAACAAACCGAACCAAAAAAGAAACTGTGCACCATAGTTTACGGTACATGACGCAAAACAGCGACAGCTCTGCTTTAACTGTGACTTATAATGCAAACCACTTTTGAGGAACACAACTTTAAACTGTTTAAAAAAGTAAACCAATGAACAGAAATGCAGCCAAGCGTCTGTTGTACAGGATACAGGATACAGAAGAAAAAAAGACAAAAAGGGTAAAATGAATCTTCAGACGCTTGTAGAGTTCTTTTAGTTTGTGTGACGTACACCTCTTCACAGAAGCTTGGACTTTAAAACATGTTGCGTCATCATCCACATCAACTAGAGAGTGAACAGGTACATGTTTCAACAACAGCTTATTGTAAATTCTGGTGTAAATAGGATTCTCTTTTTTTTTGACTCAAGGGCAACGGTTTTGTTTCTGGGTGATTGGCTACTGCTACACAATAACATGCACTTTTGAGAATCCTCACCGTTGAGTAAGTGAATGAATTGACCACATTTTCAAATGAAACATAATCAGTAACACCAATCAGTGTTGGTTTCCTTGATTTGATTGTTTTTTGTTTGCTAAACATATCATCACTTCTCCTCCGGTTTATGTAGCTAGTGGTGATTAAATAAAAAGGTCTGAATCACTCTCCCTCCAACAGTGCAATTACGTGATATTTATGCTGCCACGTTTTTCTCAGAATCATTTTTGGCATTCCTCTGTGCACAGCAATGTGCATGGACGGCACTACAACTTCCCTTTAAAGCCGCCTTATTTAGGAGCTCCCTGCTATCTTTACGGCCTTCAATATGATTACAGATGCAGAAAAACACCAACTGTTATGCAGATGTGATCAACAGCATTCACACATGCAGGAGTATCTTCAACGTGTCCGTGTGCAAACCGTGTCATCTGTGTACATGGAAAGGGCAGAGACTGTTTTGTAAAAATCTTTTAATGAGGTGTGTGGCCAACCAATGACTGGCTCAGGATACATCCAAACACATACTTAACATTTTGAATTCTCAAAAGGTGTGAACATGATGTGATGCTACATAAAACTAGGCACAATGCAAAATAACAATTTTACATGGGTAAAAGTCATAAATCCAGTTCTGTTCCGACGCCATTTTTCTCCAGGATGGTCGTAATGTTTATGCTGCTGTGTAATTCTCAGTTTTTTTTCCATCTCTGATATTTTATGACTTTAGAAACATCTGACACACAACAAGCCATCAGCCCTTTGACCAAAGAGCTTCAGGGTGATGTGAAGTTGCAGGTATTATTGAACAGCGATCACTATGAAGGAGACACCTAAACAAAAATAACTTATGACACAAAATAAAGTGCTTTTTTCTCGTTATACTTTTCACATATATTGAAATGTAGACATAAGAAGGATCATGTTAGCTAGATCTCTCTGCTCCGAAAGGAGACATACGAGTTAAATTATTCCATCATTTGCCGTGCCATCATTCTACGGCTGCATTCTGTGCTTTAAACCCAGCATTTCCGTGACACATGTTCATGACCCAGTACGTGTATTCTGTCTCTGGAACACAATGTCCTTTTTAAAGAATACATCAAATTTGTTCAATAAGTAATGGGTGAATGAATCGATGGCCAAAACTATCAGAAGTGCACCTCTGGACACTACAAGAAAAAAAATGCCTTCGCTTTTTTATGTCATAACTGAACAGCGGCCTCAATAAAGAGAGGACGAGAGAGGTCAAACAGAGAGCAGAAGATGAGGATGACAGGCTGACATTTTATCAATGATGACTGGTGCACTCATGGGTACACCACTACCTGCATGCACACACTGACTCATAATGGTTCGACATTGATGTCATTCCTCTCACTGCACCTCCTCCTCCTCCCCCTGTTCTCCTGTGTCCTCCTCCGAGCTGTCAGTGAAACTCAGACTCCTCGTCATGGTCAGAAGATTCCCACTCTGTTGTTTTTCTGGCAGACTGGCTGCAGTTTATTTCCCACTGTTCCAGCTTTAGTGAAGTCATGTAATAACATCCGAGCAACATTTGCAACACCCACTGCAGCTCCTCGTTTTTATGCCTCTCAAGCTCCTTTACGTGAGAACAGGGGAACAGCAACTGCCACTGCTACGCTTAGAGAGTCTTGCTTAATGCTCTCAACAACCAGCCAAACGCAGTACGGCAACCCTCCCTGTTTTCCGCGAGAGAGGCTCTCAAGTTTCTCAATCACTGCGGTTTCTGAGATATCAACAAGATACTTTACACCAAAATGTATTCCTATATGGATATGCCATTAGTCAAAAAGAAAAGGCAAGGAAACACTTTCAAGAAATTCCTCATAGTTAAGTTCGAAGACAGATTGGTTGAAAAGTAAATGTTTGTTTTGCAAAATTTGACCTACTTTCGGCTGATTCATGCTCTCTTACCAGAAATAAAAAAAATATGCGGTCACATATTTTTTGTACCATATTCTCGTTGTTATATTATACTGAAAAAGTCAGAGGGGAAAAGTTTTTAAGTTTCCTGTGAAAAGTTCCCCAGAGACTTCCATTTTCTTTTGAAAATCTTCTCATTTCTGAACTCTCAAGTTGGCAAGTGCAGTTATAACTCAGCATGACACTGCTGAGGATTTTCGGATCGGGTCTCCTGCTTTCATCTTCTTCTCCTCCTCCTCCTCTCTGTCTGAATGGGGGCAGCTTTCTCTGACTGGCAGTAGTTGTCCTTGGCCGGGTGCCTCATGTTGGTATCATAAAGGTGATATCAGTCCCCAGGCCAGAGACCCTGACATGAGCAGAAAGGGTTGAAATATATGGAGTGGGCAGAAAAAAGAAAAGGACACTTACAGAGGCATCATGTTCCCAAGACAGGACTCAGCCTCCTCCCACATCTCTTTGATGGGAAGAAACTAAATGTGAACAGTCATCTAGCAAGCACATATAAAGCATTTTTTCATAGATTTTTTGAATCGGAAAGACAAAACTAGACTGTTGAGGAACAGTGCCTTTCTAAAAGCATGACTTCTGCGTAACTACACACTTTTTAAGACAGTAAATCAATTCAACTGGAAACCATGTGTTCATCAGGTTCCAGCTCTTTGTGTTCTTCGTCCAGTTTTTCTGTGTTTGGTTTAAGGGGGGGTGGGTGATTGTCTGTCTGAATTTGAGTGCCTCCCAGGGTAAAGTAGAAGTGGAAGGATAGTGATGCGAGCACAGAAGCTCAGATCTCCTCTATGGAGTCAGCTGGGACCAATCCTCTCTTCTTTCCGCTGCTCAGCTTCAGAAACACCTCGCCGTCTTCCCGCTTTCCAACGCAGATCTAAAAGGAATCGACAGAAACTGAGTTGCTCTATTTTTCTGTAAAGTAACAGATACTTAACTATTTCTAAATGTAGGGAATTTGATCTGCGAGAACCTTATCATTTAGAAATTGAAGCATCATTTTTTATGCTCCATAATTTTTTTCATGATTACAAGAAGATTAAAAGGGACAGTTCCCCCCCAAAAAATCTAAAATACATATTTTTCTTCTTACATGTTCATTTAAATTGTCATTTAGAGATGCCTTCTCTCAAACATGTATTTTTGATTTTGGAGTTAACCGTCCCTTTTATTGAAACAATGGTGACAATGCACTCAATGCAGTCTTTAGCAGCAGGAACAGGTTTTGGTTGTGTGGGGAAATAAATCGGGAGTGAGAATTGGTTGAAAGTGATCTTTTACAAAAACTTATTAGTGCATTTTCTTGCTGAAAGTCTGGAAGAACAATAATGGAAAAAATGAGCCCTATAGTCGCCATACAGACACAGAGATAATTTGGGTGCCAATCCTTTGATCACACCCAGGATGTACCCTGCCTCTCTCCCAGTGTGTGCTGGGATAGGCTCCAGCCCCCTGCAACTCTGCACGGGATAATGTCAGACACCACAAATAGATCACAGACTAAGTAAGACGACAAACGATTCATAAGCTAAATTGTCAGTGTAGTTCTTTAAGTTGTATCAAAATGAATGACAGGAAGGAAAGATAAGTTGGTTTGTGTACCTGGGATTCCCTCACAGCCATGTGTCCTCTCTCTCGGTTGCCAGGAGTGCCTTGGACGACCCGCCAGACTCTCTCTCCTGGCCGGACCCTCTGCACAAAGTTGGCCGGGAAGAAGCCGACTTTGTCGCCACTCTTGCCCTGGAAAACACAAGAGACCAGTACCTCAGTATCTCCATTCTGAATCGTAGTGGGAAATTATAAACAAAATGAAACAACAACACATTTCTGATTGTGCACTGACAAATTATTGTGGCTGCAGAGACAAGTGTAGAAACAATTTAAGAAGACAGAACACTAAAAAAAAGGTATTGATTGTTTTTAAATGCAGACAAGAAATTGTTCCCCTTAATGTCAGATTGACTCCCCATGTATTTAAAGAAACAGCAGATTAAGGTGCTACGCTTTGCTTGCTGGTGAAGACAGATGATGTATGGGTGAACCTCTATAAGCAGCAATATTTCACAGTTTATCCCCCTCTGCCTCAGCTGTTGATGTGTTATGAAGTGATTCACAAGCCATACATTAGTGATGAACAGATGATTCACAAATCATACATCATTTAAAAGGTTCATTGGAGTGAAAGTGTTGATTAAAGGTGTTAAATGACTACAGAGTAAGTGCTGGTAAATACTGGTCCGCTGATGGAAGATACACAGACTCTGCACTTGAGTTAAGTCTGCACGCATCTTCCTTTTTCTTACCCTGACACACGTACATTTGTTTTCATCAGGAGCGAGTGACTTTCATTACAGACTCAATAAAGAGCTCTTTGAGGTTACAACACTAGTCAAATTCATTATGTCAAACTCTTGGTCATTTTCTGAGAAAATGATGTTCTATTTCCGTCTGTGTCTGCCTGCATGTTCATGACAGGGAAAATTGGAAAAGGTGTTATTCATTAAATTCTTGTTTTAAAGACCTGAATTAACACATGCACATAATAAATGCACGTACACACACATAACTCTGTGCCCTCAAATACACATTATGCACACGCAAACATAGGTAAGCACCAACAGGCACACGCAAAAACACACAGATGTTTGCAAGTGATTTATTACCCACCTTCCACCACTCTTCGTTAGAGTCGTCAGTGACCTGCACACGATCACCGGGCCTAGAGGAGATAAGACACGAGAGGAGATGGGAGAAAAAAAAAAGGGAGGCAAGAAGGGAGGTGATTTAGGCGGAGAGGAAAAGGGGAGACGAGTGTGGGATACGTGATGGGGAGATGAAGGGTGGTGAGAGAGTGAGAGCGGCAAGCAAGAAAAGAAAGAAAAAAAAAAAAAGAGTTGAGCGCGAGGACAAAAGATTACATTATAAAACTAGCAGCAGTACCCACAGTTACACAGCTGTGGAGGTTAAAATGAATCTTTGTGTTCCTCTGCAGAGGTTACAGAGCAGCAGACACTAAAGTCATGAGGTCTACATGAAATACGACTCTGTAGCGTCTAATGCAGTGCTGAAAGGCTGGATCTAATCTGCAGCCAACCTGGCCTGAATGCTAATAATGTTACCAGTTTTTGATGACTTTTCCACACACACACACACACACACACACACACACACACACACACACACACTGTCCTAGATACAAATTGCTGTTCCAAATGTACGTTGCGTCTCCTGGGTGTCTGCTCTCACCATATGATCATCGCTCACAAACACACACACTAGTTTGCACACGGTCACCTAAACTTACCAACTAGGCTGAGCCCGATACATCTCAACTGATACTATGAAACAAGCATTCCGTTCACTGAGGTTTCTCCCAGAAGCACAGCTCGAACCTAAATGCAGACTTTAGTTTTTGGATACATCAAAGAAAAGATTCTAAACCTTAGCCAGAGTTAGACAAACTCGCAGATCTCCATGCAGTTTGAAGGTATATGTTGAACAGTGGGATTAGCCTAGTTTAACTGATGTCTGTGGGAACAGCAGCTTCGCTCAATGTCAGAAAAAGGCCCTTTTAACAGTCCTCCAATAACGGATGGAGGGTCTAATTTAACATGTTTGATTACATCAATTTAATGTCACAATCTTAAAATGTGGACATAATATGTCGAATGTTGCATCAGTATTTCCTGTTACTGTGCACCCACAGTCAGGGAGGCAGAAACAGTTGCTCCAGATGACTGATGACAGGATTTTGTGTGAAAATAAAATGAAATTGAAACTGGTAACTATAGTCAAAAGAGTACAACGTATCAAACCTTCAGCCTCCTTACTGTTGCGAGGAGCTGCTACTTGATCCGATCAAAAACTATGAATAAAGCTAAAACTAAATAAACCTTCGAACTGAAAGCTTTAACATAAGCAATGTCCCACGTTCCGCTAATGTGCCCTAACAATTCACAGCACATATTTTGACTCGTCATAGCAGGAAAAGAGCAGGTGAAACTAATTTTGCTAATGGCTTAGTTTCATCCCGTGTCCCAGTAAGGTTGAATGAGCCATCATGCACACTACAATAGGACCCTGGAACTACCCAGTGCAGTACTTTTTAATGTTTTAAAGTACATCTGTTATCTTCCTGCTCTGGTTGGCCAAACTGTCTACTGTGAGAAAGGTCTATTGTTTCCCCACACCACTTATACCAGGTGACTCCCTTATTGAATCGATTAGACGTAATCTATCACTATTTCTATTTCTAGATTAGACTAACCTAGAAATATAATGGCAGAAGGTAAATGAAGTGCAATGTAGAACAAATACCGAGTGATCTTGGACACGGCAATAGGGATCTGGTGACCCAGAGACACATTATGCTTTCATTAGTTATTGTATATTGTGCAGTCACACATACAGTGTCTCAGCACAGATGGCTATTAACAGTTCCTTGAATCTACCTCTGTTGTCTCCTAACCATCCACCCACCCTGCCCTCATTTTACTGCTCTGTCCTTCCTCTCTTCTCTTTCCTCGTTCTTCTTCATCTTATATAGCTTTTATTTCTATATTTGCACTTAACTTTCTCCGCCCCTCTCCCATCCTCCCTCTCTCTCTGCCTGTAATAATCTTTAGCTTCATGCCATCTCCCTGTATGTGTGCCCGCCCTTTCATCCCTCAGTTGTTCAGTGCCTTTATCCTCCCCCCTGCTGGGAACACAGCTCAGTCGCTAGCTCTGTAAGGGGACAGTGATGGGCTTCGAGTTTATAATTAGTCGTCCTTAAGGGCGCCCTGACACTGTCCTCTGCAGATGGCGGGGACATTTTCATCCTGCAGGAACAACAGCCGGGGCAAAAATACAGACAAAGCAAATGCACTCACACAGACAATAGCAAATACACAATACCACACAAGCACTCCTGCATGTCCACAGACATGAAAATGCTTGCCATAGGCAGTCTGTTTGGCTTTAACTCACTGAAGTTCCAGGTCATTCTGTTCCTGAGGCAGAAACTTGTAGAGCGCTACATAGGTGTGAATGGAGTGAACTTCAATGCGCTTGGGCACCTGGACACAGGGAGACACAGGGACGGGAAGGTAGTGAGACAGAAATACACGCTTGGGGAGGAAAACATCAAGGGGCCAGAGTCTGCCCAAGGGGGATTTAAAGAGAGCGGTACCATCCCACTGCTCTCCTCCGCAGGAGTCTGAGCTTCTGCAGGGGTCTGGGATTCTGCAGGGGTCTGGGATTCTGCAGGGGTCTGGGATTCTGCAGGGGTCTGAGCTTGACTGCAGCTCTCATCCTCCTCCTCGATCTCGACGTCGGGGTAAGGGATGTCTGAGGGTGGCGAGAAATTGTCTTAGAAGGTGCCAGGCATGCACACAACCACACATATGCTAACAGGCGTGTCATGTTTTAACAAGTAAATCTCTCTCTCTCTCACACACACATACACACACACACACAGAGACAGACATGCACAGGTAACACAACATATGCATAGGCACACATAGGCATGGACATACAGCACATATACCTATCCACATACACACAGCAGTGTTTACCCCCTGTCTCCTGAGTTATCTCTTCCTCCATGCTGTACTGTCTCTGCTGCATCTCCTCACCTCCCTCCCCCTTATCAAATAAGGAAATAGAGAGGAATGTCAGTAGCATTATGTCAAAGAAATGCATTTCGTAGTGGGAGTAACACTTTTCTCTGCTCTGAATGCACCACACACAGATCAGTAGTTCACAGTGTTGTAGAATGATCTGCATACATGCCGT